CCAACACTCACACCCGTTATCCAACACACATTTTCACGTACTGGCCTCCCATTCCACCCGCCAAGACCTCATTATTTCAGAATCCCTGTTTATATAGAAAAATGACTCTTAAGCTGAACAACACTTCTGCCGCAACTATCTTGTTCACTTATTAGGTTCGTTTACGCACTCTTATTGGTTTGTTTTGTATTATTTTATGTTTTATATTTTTTCTCTCTCCCTCGTTTGTATATCATAGTATGTGTGTGCATTTGTTTGTACTGCACTCTTGTATGTTATCCAATGCCTTTATCTTATATGTACATTATATTGATCATTATGTATCAGTATTCACTAAATGTATTTTCAAAGTTTCAGCCATGTATTATCCAGTCTAACTGCGTTTTGTTTTTTATTTCACTGATCACAGCACCAGTAATGGAGATTTGCTGCCTGCGATAAAATTGCAATAAATTTTACCGCCGTCTTCGTTTATCTCTTCGTTCCTACTGTTCGGACGCCTTAGTGGCAAGCCAAGAAGGACGTACATAAAAAAAAATATATAATAAGACAGCACTGGGTCGCTTCAGAAGGACTGGGAAGCTTTCCTACCGTTCCAGAAGGACATCAAGTTCCCGAGTCTTTATAAAAATTATGATATAATTCACAACCTTGTATTTGAGAGCACCCACACATATTGCCCCTAAACTGAAACTGAAGTCACTAAAACTCAACAAGGGCGTATATTTACCTATATCTATCTATCTATATATATATATACACATATATATATATATATACGTATATATATATATATATATAATATATATATATATATATGTGTGTGTGTGTGTTTCAAAAAACAATTAAAATCACTTCTACAAAACGATTACCCCCAAAGTAAGTTCACCTTTGTCTTTAGCAACACCAATACTGTCAATAACTTCTTAAAACAACTAAGATTTGCTACTCTGATCTATGTTCTAATGTAGTGTATTTATTTACCTCTACTAGCTGCCAAGCCAGGTACGTGGGGTTAACCTCACGATGGTTACGTCACCGCATATTGAACAAAAAGGCAAGTCATTTCGAACTGGCCTCCCGCTGGGTAGACCATCTTTCTCGGCCATCGAAGAGCACTCACACCAACACTCACACCCGTTATCCAACACACATTTTCACGTACTGGCCTCCCATTCCACCCGCCAAGACCTCATTATTTCAGAATCCCTGTATATATAGAAAAATGACTCTTGAGCTGAACAACACTTCTGCCGCAACTATCTTGTTCACTTATTAGGTTCGTTTACGCACTCTTATTGGTTAGTTTTGTATTATTTTATGTTTTATATTTTTTCTCTCTCCCTCGTTTGTATATCATAGTATGTGTGTGCATTTGTTTGTACTGCACTCTTGTATGTTATCCAATGCCTTTATCTTATATGTACATTATATTGATCATTATGTATCAATATTCACTAAATGCATTTTCAAAGTTTCAACCATGTATTATCCAGTCTAACTGAGTTTTGTTTTTTATTTCACTGATCACAGCACCAGTAATGGAGATTTGCTGCCTTCGATAAAATTGCAATAAATTTTACCGCTGTCTTCGTTTATCTCTTCGTTCTTACTGTTCGGACGCCTTAGTGGCAAGCCAAGAAGGACGTACATAAAAAAAATATATAATAAGACAGCACTGGGTCGCTTCAGAAGGCCTGGGAAGCTTTCCTACCGTTCCAGAAGGACATCAAGTTCCCGAGTCTTTATAAAAATTATGATATATTTCACAAACTTCCGCATACCACAACCTTGTATTCGAGAGCACCCACACATATTGCCCCTAAACTGAAATTGAAGTCACTAAAAACTCAACAAGGGCGTATATTTACCTATATCTTTCTATCTATATATATATATATGTGTGTGTGTGTGTGTGTGTGTGTGTGTGTGTGTGTGTGTGTGTGTGTGTGTGTGTGTGTGTGTGTGTGTGTGTGTGACACACCCTCTCTCTTTCTCTCTCTCTCTCTCTCTCTCTCTCTCTCTCTCTCTCTCTCTCTCTCTCTCTCTCTCTCTGTGTGTGTGTGTGTGTGTGTGTGTGTGTGTGTCTCTGTCTCTGACTCTCTCTCTCTTTATTTCCGTCACCCTCTCTCTCTCTCTCTCTCTCTCTCTCTCTCTCTCTCTCTCTCTCTCTCTCTCTCTCTCTCTCTCTCTCTCTCTCTCTCTCCTGGATCGTTAGCGTTGACAGGACAGTAAGTGCATTCATAAACAGTAAAACGGACCTTGGGTACAATAATTATACCGTAACTAGCAATGGCAGCTTTCAGAAAACCAAGATTCGTACTGTGTGTGTGACGAGTTTCGAAGACCAGGAGGTTATGTGTGTTGCACGAAGTACATGGAATTTTGAAATCACTGCACACGTAAGGTGAGTTCAGGCGGCGAGCAGACGGGCGCATAGAGCCTGCTCTGTCATACTGAAGTCTTGATCTGGTGCAGATTCTGTGCCTTAATAAACACG